GAATTAACATGGGATTACAGCATAAGTCTATGGCTATATTTTAACATGGGTAATGCTAAGTCTATGGCATAGGGATAACATGGGTAATGCTAAATCTATGGCAATGATAAGTCTATGGGTAATGCAAAGTCTATGACATAGGAATAACATGGCTAATGCTAAGTCTATGGACAACGATAAGTCTATGTGTAATGATAAGTCTATGGCATAAGAATAACGTGGGTAATGCTAAGTCTATGGCAATGATAAGTCTATGGGTAATGCAAAGTCTATGACATAGGAATAACATGGCTAATGCTAATCCTATTGACTAATGTTAAGTCTATGGACAATGCTAAGTCTATGTGGAGTGCTAATCCTATGGACTCTTATTGAATGTGTAGACAATCCTAATCTATTCTTTGAGTATTTCCCGAATAGTGGTTAACGTATAGCATCGCTGTGTGATCCTTGTTTATTCCCTCCCATGCTCAATCTATGGCTTATAAAATTAACTTTAGAGACCAGGTAAAATGTTATATTTTAATATAGGTAACGATCTATTGACTATTGTTAAAGTTATGCTAACTAAATTTATTATTTAGGTATTCTGAAATTAGCAATTAAAACATTCGATGAAGTTTTGTTAACAATATAAACTTATAGATAGTATAAAGTTTAAAGAATTTATTAATGTTGACACAACAAATATTTATAAAAATCATTACAGTCTAAAATACCAGAAAAATCAGTGGACATAACATCCGATCAAATTGAGACCGAGTGGCAAAATTTCAAAGTAAATATTAATGAAAGTTGCTTAATTCTTTAACTTTAAATACTTATACAAAATATTGAAAACATATGCATATATTATTAGCAAAAGTTTAGGAAAAACAATGCAATGCTTAACTACGACGAGTCGAAGCGCCGGCAGATATTTGCCGACAATTACCGCCGGATTCGCGACCACAACAAAGAGGCCGATAAAGGCGTTCACACGTATCGGTTGGGCGTCAATCAGTTCACAGACATGACTCAACACGAGTTTACTAATGGATTGTGTGGGCACCGGACGTGACTGCAAAACAATCATGATCCACTAAATAACTTTAGTTATGTTATATATTAGGCTTAGACTAACTTTTGATTTTTAAATATAGCGCTGAAAATAATATGAAATGATTGGTTTACATGACAGTCGAAAGTAGTTTGAAAGTAGTTTGACTCTGACTCAGACTGAGTTAGATGATCTGTATTATAAATAGCGTGACCACCTGTGCTCTATTTCAGAGAACAATTCTCTATTTGGACCTGTAATTGGACAAAATAGAGAACTGTTCTCTATTTTAAATTTAAAATAAATGATAGAAATGTTATTAAATTTATTAAATATTTATTTATCTATACAATAATAAACTTTTAAAGGAATTGACACTTTCTTGATTAATAATTGCCATTTTAAAATACAACTCACACAATAAATGATACTTCAACATTGGTATTAAATAATCTCGATTTTTAAATTTAGAAAAAAATTTAACGTAAAATATGTGTTCTCTATTTGTTCTCTATTTTAAAGGGAATTTGGTCAAATGTTCTCTATTTTTAAACCTAGAGGTGGTCACGCTAATTATAAATATGATATAATGATAAACCTAGCTTTATATGATAAACATAGCTTCTAGACTGGCAACAATTTGTTAATATTATGTGATCAATAATTTAAACAATTTATATTTGATAATAATGATTTAATTTTGTATTTTTATAATTACAGAAAAATTTAAATAAAATAATATATGTAATTTTATTGTATTAGACAACTATCGTCTGTCTAACAATAACTTTTTGATACAATTACAAAACATTAAATTTTTATCTTGAAACATTATATAATCTTAAATATCTGATGATGTTTCATCTAATAAATGATTTGTCGTTGATAATACAGTATCAAAAACATAAATATCTATTTTACATTATGATAATTCTACATTTATATTGTGATCATTCTTAGAATTACAGTGTTCAAAAATATTTGTTAACTGTTCTACCACTATATCAAATGTCCACTGTATATGAATATAAATTAATTTTATTTTTAATAGATATGATAATTAAAAATCAATCAAATGTTTAGTAAAGCAATGGATAAAGTTTGCGGAGAATGGGATCCATAGTCTTCTGCCAAACCTCATACCCGGACTCATTGGGATGAACGCCATCGGGAAGGAAGAGATCTGGTATTTGTTTACCCGTTTTGTCCACAAAGGCTGACCACATGTCCAGGAAAAATATATTTTTATTATTGGCTAACTTTGCCAATAATGAATTAAGCTCTTTGCACTGGTCTGGCCATGGTGCTGGCAAGTTACCCAACAAAAGGATCTTGGTGGCCGGCATTTTGGTCAACAACTCAGTCATAATCTCAGTAATTCCGTGCTTTACGTCTTCAGCCGTATCGTTATTGTGCCAAATATTATTAGTACCTAATAATCAACATATGGTTTGTGTTAAAAATAGCGCTTCTGTAAGTATTATTAGTACAACATTAATAGTCAAACAGCTATTACAATAAAAATTTACTTTATATTTGAGTAAGGTTGCTTAAAAAGATTAATTTATACACTCACCAATCATAAGTACAGTGACATTGGCTTGAAGTCCGTCAAACTCCTTATCCCGGATGCGGAATATGACGTTAGAAGTGGTGTCACCGGAGATGCCGTAGTTATAGGTGTGACGGCCGGCGCCGTAGTGTAATTCCCACACAATTTTGCCAAACAGTCCCCACCCCTGGGTTATTGAGTCGCCGACAAACACTATACGCTCGTCAGCCTTATGTTTAAGGGTCTGATCAACGAGAGTGTTGTGCATCAGTGCCCACACCTGGTCAGACATCTTGCCTTCCGGTTCCCACGGCTTCACAGTTTCGGCCAATGTTTGCCCAATTATTGCCACAATTGTTAGCGTTATTAGAGTTTTCATTATATTAATATATTTAGTAATACTAATTTTGTCAATTAATATTATATTACGATGATGATTTATTTAAAGTGTTCACTTTAGGCTCACACTTATATACTTTGGAAAATATTGATTATTTTCATATCAATAATTTGTTATTTATTGTACTAATTTATAATTATTAGCAAATCAACATGTTTAATCTAACTAATTTAAAGCAAACACTCAATTGAAATAAAGTACATTACGTGATGAAGTACTCATTATAGATAAATACTCTTGGACTTATTCTACTTAATATACCTTTGAATAACTGTAATAAGTGATTGATCAATTTGTCAATTGAGTTAAAAGTAAAGTTATCTGTACTTTATATTGAAAACAATAGTTAAGTGGTTTTTGTGTTCATTCAAGGATTTATGCAATCAAATGATTTACCAATAATTGGACGCAAATCTTTGCCTATAAGTCTATTACTCTATTGAAACATATAATTGAATGGTTTTATCTTAAAAAAGTAACTTTTTATTGAATCATAGAATTCAATGATTATTAACACTAGTAACTAAAAAAGTTTACTCTTTGTAAGATAAAACATCTTAATTATTAATTAATAATATTACCTGGTCAAAGTGAAAAGTATTATTTAGTTATTTATTTAACAACAATTATGAATAATTATATTTTATATATTATATAATTAGATTATATTAGAAATCTACAGTAATAAACAATAATATTTATATATTATATAAAATATGACAACATAAGAAAAATATTTTTTTACTGTATTTTTATAGATAATTTTAGCTAAAATTAAATTACTTTAATGCCTGTATTTGATAAATATGTTGGTGCGAGGTATGAACTAGGATATAGGATAAATTAGATGCAAGGTAAATAATGGAATATTTTATTTGTATAACACATTTTATAAATTTCAATTTATTTAATGTTTTTATTAAATATGATTTAATAATCAACAAAATATCTATTAAACCAATGGATAGAGTTTGCGAAGAAATGGATCCATAGTTTGATACCAGACCTCAAAGCCGGACGGATTGGGATGAACGCCATCCGAGGCAAACAATTCCGACTTTTGTTTACCCGTTTTGTCCACAAATGCTGACCACATGTCCAGAAAAAATACATTCTTATTATTGGCCAACTTTGCCAAAAGTGAGTTGAGTTGTTTGCACTGGTCTGGCCATGGTGCTGGCAAATTGCCCAACAAAAGTATCTTGGTGGTCGGCATTTTAATCAACAACTCATTTATAATCTCAACGATGCCATGTGTTATGTCTACAGCCGTATCGTTATTATGCCAAATATTATTAGTGCCTAATAAGCAAAATATTTTATTGAGAATTACATAAATTTGCATTATTATAAATTACACAACATTAAAAGTTAAATGCTTATTAAAATAAAATGCACTTTATATTTGGGCTATTATTGTTTTTTAAAAATATGATGACACAAACCGATCATAAGTACAGTGACAATAGCCTCGAGTCCGTCAAACTCCTGGTTCCGGATCCGGAATATGACGTTAGAAGTGGTGTCGCCGGCGATGCCGTAGTTATAGGCGTGACGGCCGGCGCCGTAGTATTTGTCCCAAAGGTTCAACAAAACCCATTCCTGTGTTATTGAGTCGCCGACAAACACTAGCCGTTCGTCGGCCTTATGTTTGACCGTCTGATCGATCAAATTCTTGTGCATCAGTGCCCACAACGGGTCCGACATTTTGCCCTCCGGTTCCCACGGCTTCACAGTTTCGGCCAATGTTTGGCCAATTATTGCCACAATTGTTAGCGTTATTAGAGTTTTCATTATTTAAATATTTAGTTAATATTTAATAACTATTATATTAACACCGAAGTGACTTAATTCAAGTGTTCACTTAAGGCTCATATTTATATATTGTATAAAACATTGATTTTTTTCATGACGATATTTTCTCACAGCATAATGAAAGTTTTATAATAATTATTAAGAAATAAATACATGATAAAGTACTCATTATAGATAAATATCCTAAGACTTAATGTACGCAAAATACCTTTAATAACAGTAATTAGTCATCGATCAATAAATATAAATAATCTATCTAGAAAACAACAGTTAGGTGGTTGGTGTTCATTCATTGAATTTATGCTATTAAATTAAAAATGTATTTACCAATATTTACTTTTAAGTTTAAAGGATTAAAATTCATTTGTTAATAAATTATGAAATAGTGGCAAAAAACAGTCTAATAATAAAGTCTTTACTATATTGTTGTTTAAACATTTAATTAAAATTATTACTAGTACTATATTAAAAGTATCCTAATAATAATGTTGCAAAGTTTATAAATGTGATGCATCTCCATCAACCGGTGCTTAGATTTAGACAAAATACTCACTAATCTCTTCATATTGTGGACAGTTGTGGCCCCCATAGAGCCCAACAACAAATATACCAACTTTCCCGGTCTGTTCGCCAACGGCTTCGGTACCTCAAACACAGTCTGACCGTCACCTGAGCTCATAAAATGGTCGAACCGGTAGTGTTTGGGCGGATTTGGACGCATCTCCTGATAGTCCAACTCAATTGGGAACTGATATACGTTTAGATACGGTTATTTACCTTTCATGCTTTCGTC